GCTCTCGCTCTCGCTCTCGCTCTCTCTTTCTTCTTTTTGGTGACAGGGTTTCATCTAACCTGGGCTGGTCTTGAACTCACCATGTCAATGATGGTGACCTTCAACTTCTGCTCTTGTATCTGCCTTCTGTTTGCTGGGATTGTAGGCGTAGACCACCATGGTGTGTTTTTCAGGGCTGAGGATGGGAACCCAGGGCCCTGTACTTGCTAGGCAAACACTTTCTTACCTGCAATACACCCCTAGCCCCTTCTTCTAGTGCTTTTCCAGTTGTGTAAGTCCATTCTAACTATTCATGATAGTGCTGGAGATACTAGGAAGAAAGTCAAGTGTTGTGTAAGGATAAACTTAAGTTGTTTCTGATTATACAGCAGAGTACAGGACAGTTAGCATTTTCCATGTGCTTTTTCCTTTTATATTAAAATGGAATTTTATACAATAAATGCTGATCATGTTTTCCCATCCTTCAATTTCTCCCAGCTCCTCTGACCTCTTCACCCACCCAAATCCACCCCTCTTTTTGTCTTTCATTAGAAAAGAAATAAGCAACTATAAAACCCCAAACAAACAAACCAGAATAAGACAAAACAAATGGGGGAAAAGGACCAAAAAAAAAGCATGAGAAACACATAAAGATGCAGAGACACACATCTGCACACATAGAAACTCCATAAAAACACAAAATCATAAACTATAAAATATAAGTAAAAGACCCGTAAGATTTAAAAAAAAATGTCCAGAAAACACTAAAGGGAAAAAAAATCCCTTCAAAAAGTCATTGATTTTATTCGTGTTAGCCATCTACTGCTGGGTGTGGCCACCCTAAAATATGGTTTGTATACTCAGAGACTTCACTGGAGAAAACTAGCTTTTCCTTTGTAAGAGGTTGTCAGCTGGAGATAGCTGCTGTATTAGAGATGGAGCTTGTGTTTACTTCCTTTCTTAGTTCTGGGACCCCCATCCTGTTTAGGCAGTGCAGGGCATGAGGTCCCTGCCACAGTCACATATGTCTATCAGCCCTGTCTCTAGATGGCTTTGCTTCCCTGGTGTCTTCTATCCCTTCTGGCTCTTTACAATCTTTCCAACTTCCCATCTTCAAAGTTCCCTGACCCTAGAGGAGAGGGATTTGGTGAGAATATCCCGTTTAGAATTGAATGCTCCGAGGTCTCTAACTCTCTGTGGATCTTTGTATTTGTTCTCTAATGGTGGCTGAGCAAGATACTGATATACTACTATAGGAGAATGTCATAAAAAGTCATTTTATTGCTGTGTTCCTTTAGCAGAACAGTAACATTTGGTTTTCCTCTATGCCCATGACCTATTTATTCTCAGATTCTTAGTCATCTGAGCAGTGATGGGCATGGGCTCAATCTCATGGAGTGGACTTTAAATCCAATCAGATAGTAGTTGGTAACTTCTACAACTTTTCTGCCACTATCGTACCAGCATATCATGAGAGCAGGTCCCCACTGTAGGTCAAAGGGTTTGTAACTAGGTTATTAATATTTACCTTTCTCCTTTGATAGCATGCAGAGCACCTTCCGGTACATGAACATTATTCCATAGAGATGGAGGCTCTAGGAAGGGACCTAGATTAACGTCTCCATATTCAAAAAGTTGTGCAAGTTTATGGTTGTGTAGACTTCTTCAGAAATAGGGCCTTATCACTAGTTTGTGGAGAGAAATGAATTGCCTTGGGGGTTTGAGGGTTTCTATAGAGTAACTTTGACAAACAACTCAATTAGATGGGACCCATTCCTGGTACTGCCGATTTTATTCAATGGTGATAGACATCTAGTTGGGGCTTTGTCTCCTCCAGTATTTGGTGATTCCATTTACATTCTTTCATATATGCATATATTCTAAGAAGCACCTACTATAATATGATTTTGTATGACCCCTCAAAATGGCCCTTAGTTTTAGCAGTCTCTTCCTATATATCCTCTGTTACCCCATTCCCATTTTTCCCCCTCTCTTTTTAATACTTCCATTCTAGTCCCCCACCCCACTCCATCAATTTATAACTACATAGTCTATTTTCTCTTTCTCGGGAGATCTTTCCCACTCTCAAATCCATTACTTCACATCTAACCTCTATGGTTATATGGATTGTAGCTATATTTAAATTTACATCTAGTTATAGCACTAAATATAGATAGTTTTCTATAATAAGAAAGTGTTTTAAGATTTTAATTTTAAGTACTTTACCTCTTCATGCTGCTGAAATTTTAATATAATTCCTTAATTTTTCAAAAAGGTGATGATGTTTAATGAAAATCCTGAAACCCAATTATCCATCAAGAAGTAGCAGCTCAGAACACAGCCTCTGTTTCTATCGTGCTATTTTTCTTTTGAAAAAAAATCAATAAGTCATCTGGCTACTATTCATTAAGAAAGAAACAAACATTAAAATCAATGTTCATTTTCTCCAATCTCCCTGTTTCTCCAGTGTGCAGCAGGAGAAACTCAGTCATGGGGATGAATGTTACGGCCCACAGAAATTAAATGCACACATCAGTGGCTGGTTGTTTTTCCTAAAACATACTTTAAGTTGATAGTCCCATTAGGTCCTTTCATAAGGCATTTTAAATATGGCAAATGGTTGCTTACTATGACTCAGTCTCTTCTCCTATAATTAAGTGATTCTGGTAAATAATGCTCCAGTTTTATCTGGTGGCTCCTGCCTTACAGGAGTCAGTGGGGCTCCTTGTCAGATGGAGAGACCCATTTTCTGGGACTTGCCTTAAGAGTTAGAGCCACTTTGACACTGGGAATTTCAAGATATCGGTGCAATTTAGAGACCTAAGCTGGTGAATAAGGACTGTTCCCCTTGTTGTCTTCGATGACCCAGAGAAAAGCTTTGAAGGATGACATGAATTTAGACAAAGATATACCTGGGTCCTTCCTTTGTGATTTCTTGATCAAATGGGGCTTTTTTGGACCTCCATTTCCTTTGTAATGGGAATAATAGTAGGTGTCACACCTGTGCAACAGCTGTAAATGCTAGCAAAGAGGAGGGTGCCTATGAATTGTCAAATGCCTGGCAGTGTGAGGCTCCTTAGTTGGGGCTTTTGTCCTTAGTATATGGGATGAGAGGAAGTTAAAGTTCCTTCTTTGGGTCCAGCTGGTCTTGGGATTATTTTAAAAAGGTTTTAGAAGCTTACCAAGTTCTGAATAATTGAAGAACTTTGCTTTATTCATTCTGGACAGTGAGTCTACAGAAATGGGTCTTAGCTTCAAGCTCATGTGTGTAAATTCAATCCTGGTAAAGAGATGTGAAGCATCTGAGTCCTAAGGCTGCAGTGAAGAGCAGAGCCTTGATTTATATGCCCAGCCCATGGTTTGCTCTGAAGCATCAGATTCAGGGGCACAGAGGGTATCTGAAGATGGTAAAAGAGAGCTAGGTAGGGTAATATTTTTGTTATCTTAGCTATATATAGTAAGGGATCCAGTGGCAAATACCCTTTTTGAGGTCACATAGACTGGTTGAAACTGAATCTAAGTATTATATGACTCCATACTCCTCTTCTCTCCTCCTCTCCTTCACCTTTCCTCATCAATGGCTACGATGTTCTAACAGTTCACTGCATCATTCTGAACAGATTGTCATTGAACTCCATTTATAAGCCCAGATTTAGGTGAAATTCTCATAGATTTGGACTGAGGCTTCCTGTCCACTGACTCTACTGGGTCTTAGAGGAACCACATTCTGCCGCCTCATTCTACTGCCTTATCCTCTAGAGGACAGGAGATTGAATATTCTAATCAGTCATAGTGGTTGCAGATGCACAAGATACAGTTTGCAGTTGTGACCTTAATACCCTGGAGGGTCTTTTAGGACGGAGTTCTCCTTGAGCTTGCTCTAGGGCTTTCTCCTCCCTAGTTGTATCTTCATTTGCTTGGGTCATCAGATGAAATCCGAGTGCAGCCTTCGGGATGCACCCAGGTGGTAATGAGATTTGATTCCATGGGCGCTCTGTCATCCTTGTGTTGAGAATGGCCATGGAGAGGTGTTCTCTTTATCAGATGGTTCTGTATGTAAGGTACCTGTTCACTATTGGAGTGATATTCAGGACTGAGCTCAGGTTTTTTAATACAATGGAGAAAATAGAACCCATGTTACAGGGCTTCAAAGCCATGAAATGGGCACTTTTAATGGTTATATCACCATGCAGAGTAGTACCCCATAAAGAAGACCTTCTTTCTTCCTTGCTTCTTGCCTCTCCTTGCTTTTCTTCCTGACACCCCTAAACTGGCAACAACTGAGAGGCAATAGGGTGAACCAAAGCTTGAAGATGAGATGAAGCAGGACATCTTCATGACCCTCTGCCTTTTTGTTCCCTCAGACTGTTGTTTGATAAAGCAATTCCATAACTTGATCATATTTCTTCCAGGGCTTCAAGGGACACACAGGTGATCCTGGCCCACCTGGTCTGAGGGTAAGTAGGTAACACTCACAAGGGAGAAGATTCAGTGTTTAGCAGTATAACATCTTGATGCTCTCTATTCAGGAAAAAACAAAAGACCTACTAGCATGGTGTCACAGTGGGCTTTACACATGGTCCCCAAGCCCTATAAAATGAGCCAGGGTATTAGGCTTAGTTCAGAAGAGCAACTTGGTCAGAGTTTATGGAGACTTTCCTAGGTTATAGAGAGTGTGTATGTTAACACATAGGCCTCTTCATAGATGGAGAGCCCCTAGAGCCTTTTGTAATGCTTTAACACACATCTTTTCCAAATACCCCAAATGAAAAAGACTAATGGGCTAATGGTTGGATTCTTTAAGTATTCTGGATAACTAGGACAGAACTGTGCTATAGAGATAAGCCAGGGATAAGTAAGTAACAGGGAGGCCTCAAACAGGCTTGCTTGACCCATCACCTTGTATTTTTCCTGCCTTCCCTGTTGGGGAGGCACTTGGGGCTCCACATACTCTCCTGGAATCTAGAGTTCTGTTTCAGGGGCTGCCATACCCCATAAGGAACACTTCTGTCTGACAGCCTTTTTGGTCTCTTTCTCTCTTCCACACTTTCAGATGCTTTGTGTTTTAGGTGGCCTTGTCTCTAACAGCAGTTTCTTATTCCTAGGGAGAACCCGGTATGACAGGCCCCCCTGGAAGGGAAGGATCACCAGGAAAAGATGTAAGTCAGGATGCTTTGGCCTGTAGTGATTGATAGAACACAAGAGGGGCACCCAGGAATCCTACCATAGTGGGAGATGGCAGTTCTGTGAAGGATTGGAATGCCATATAATTGCTTTCTTTGAGACTTGAGTTTCTTCTGTCTTTGTGGTCAACCAAGGTCATCTCTCAGATGATGGAGGCTTTTCTGGGTTCATCTGATTGTCTAGTGTCCAGTGATGGTCCAGTTGGATCTACCTTACCTGATTTGTGAGGCATTTCATGTTTTCTCCTAAATTGTTTGTCCATCTCTTGATTGTTTTGGTTATCACAGTAATTATTAATCCCTTAAACTCTCCACCACCATCGATATTAAGACTTGCCATTACCACAATCATCATTACCACCATTACGTTAACCACCATTATGTTTCTTGCCATTATGGTTACCACCATTTTCAACACCATCACATCCCCATCACTACTACCATTACTATGAATAATACTACCACCATTATCACCACTGCAATCACTAAAACATCACTAATTATAGCACTTTCATTATCATCATCAACAACAACAACAACAACAACATCAATACCATCATGACCAACACCAGCAGTAGTGATAGAAGTTGCTGCTCCTACTGCTGTTTGAGCTGTATCTTACCTTATACAGCTTGGGTGTCTCTCACTATTATTTGTTCTTGAAATTGAGACAGAGAAGGTAGAGGTTTTCTCTGGAAGGCACAAAAGAGAATAATGTGATCTAGAGACTCAGAGGTAGAGGGAGACATCCTGAAGCTAATATTTGTAGCTCACCCTCTATGCCCATTCCCCAAAACTTGATTACTTGTTTCACGTGGCATTTTGCAGGATGACCTGACATTGGGTTTACAGATTGTTTTCCTAGGAATGGTAAGCTTGTCAGATTCATGGAGACAGGGTCCTGAGGTCTCAAGTGGTATCCTTCTAGACATTTACATCTTTCAAGACTTTTATAGAAACGTACATAGCAAGTGGACTCCTCTTGTTTCTACTGATGCTCTACCTTATTGGTTATTTAGAGTATCTGATTTGAAGGATCTAAAAGAAATCACCTGGGAAAGTCAGTTTAGTACCCTTGCTGTCTCCTAGCTGTTGTCCTGGCTAGTTTTGTGTCAACTTGATATATTCTAGAGTCATCCAAGAGGAGGGACGGAACCTCAGCTGAGAAAATACCTTTATAAGGTTGGGCTGTAGGCAAGTCTGTGGGGCATTTTCTTAATTAGTGATTGATGTGGGAGGGCTCAGGTCATTGTGGGTGGTGCTATCCTTGGGCTTGTGGTCCTGGGTTCTATAAGAAATTAGGCTGGAGCAAGCCATGAGGAACAAGCCAGTAAGCAGCACTTCTTCATGGCCTATGCATCAGCATTCTTGCCCTGATTGCCTTGGGTTGATGGACTCTGATAAAGAAGTATAAGAGAAACCCTTTTCTGCCTTGTGTTGGTTTTGGTGATGCAGTTTTATCACAGCAATAGTAATCCTAGATAAAACATGGTTATAAAAACCAATCTAGTTGGTGGCCCCTATGAGACTGCCTGACACAATGTATGAGTTGATGATGCTGTTGGGTGGCAGGCTTCATTCTGTGGTGAGCCTGGCAGGAATGGTTCCAGGTTATTATCCAGTAAATCTGTCATTTTCACTTCTCTTGGTTTGGGATGTGACCACATTAAACTACCAGGGAAACTGGCCTGAACCAGTAAATAAATACAGTCATTTACAAATTTGAACTGGAGAGTGTCTCCTCATCTGGGTGAAACAAATTTATGCAATTTTGAAGTACTTGACATTCTTAAGGAAGTGTCTAGGCACACCACTGGGTTCCTAGGTCTGTTGGTGAAGTCTGATACAAGCTGGACCTTAGTCATCCTCCCATGTAGCTCTGTGGTTTTATGACTTCTCTCTGTTCCAGGGAGACACAGGACCTGCTGGACCACAGGGTCCTAGAGGAGCAAGGGGACCACCGGTAAGTGTTGCTTTGAGACTAGCTTGTTGCACAGTTCAGCCGACCTGCCACCATAGTGATGTTTGCTTGTTTCACCATGGTGTGAATAACTGCATCATTTTAAAATGATGCTCTGTATCCTAGAGGACACTAAACAGCCACTGCCCTCTGACCTGAGTGTCTTGCTATATGTACCCCAGGGCAAGCCACTGACAGTCTACCCAGAAGGACTTCAGGAACTGGCATGTTTTTAATTTGGGACCTTGTTTCTGGAGGCCAGAGGAAAGAGATTAAGGTACCAGCTAGGAAAGATGTCTACATCTCCAGCTTTTTAGCATTGGCTAACTATAATAACATTCTTTGGTTAAGCTTCTGTCTTCATGGACTGTTCTTCCTATGTGTAGACCGTGTGTGTGTGTGTGTGTGTGTGTGTGTCTCAAATTACTCTCTCATATAGGCATTGGTCCTGGTGAATCAGTCCTATTGAATTAAGGGTCCAACCTATTATACTATCAACTCACATGGCTTATTACATCTCTGATGATCCTATTAACAAAGTAAAATTCTAAGGGCCTAGACATTAGCATTCCAGCATGTGAACTTAACTCATAATATTCTACTGGTTGGAAAGTATTTGGGGTTTTATCCATTCCCATTCATACACCTAGGCAAATCCATAAAGTATGAGCAAAAGTAGAAAGTAGATATGTGGATGCCCAGTGCTATGTAAAAGAGTAAAGTATTGGAGACTGCTGAGAGGAAGCTGTGTATGTATCTTAGCATACTATGAACAGTAAACTGCATTTCGTAAGTAGGTATGCACTCTAAAATGAAGATGGAAAGTATATCATTTCACCTATGTAAACCAGAACAGCGATTTACTGTCACTGTCTATTGTGGTGTTCCATGGATCATTTTAACTTGTAACTTTTTACACTTGTGGCTGTAGTTTGGTTGCCCCAGTGCCACCACTAATGTCTAAGTGGCGTGCTATGCTATGACAATGGGCTGGATATGATGTCACTAAGAATCATGAACTTTTCAGCTCTGCTGCATTCTCCCAGGGCCACTGTTAGACCCATGGACTATCAGCGTTGTGTGTGCCTTAATCCTGTTATGTATGATCATGATTACAGATGATTTCATTTCTGTTGTGCTGAATGCAGATGTTTATGTAGCCCCAAACCTTCATTTTGCTCTCTTTAAAATCTATAATCACACAGGAATTGAAAAAGCTCACATGATTACTACCTCACGGCCACTACTGGCTTCAAAGAAATATGAAGAATTCACTGCATGAAACATAGATGTCATTCAGCTTTCTCCTAAGACCTCTGAGTTTTGAAACTATGTTATGAATCTGTCAAGGCAAAGATAACAAAATAAAGATGCAGAGATGCTCATAGTTTACCCAAGGTCACACAGCTAGTCAGCAATTTCTAGTTTTTGGACTCAAGCAGTCTAGGTTAACAGGCTGAAGTCACTCCTCCCTTATTATTAATCATTTTATTTGTTTACATTTCAAATGATATCTCCTTTCCTAGTTTAAGACCCTTAAATTTAATACCTTAAATATCTATGAACTAGATTGTCTTGCAGAAACACTGTCCTGGAGGAAAGAACTTGAAACAGGAGTTTAGAGATCAGAAGCTTGGGAAGGTTGAATGTGGTTCTGTGACTCAGGAGGGACCCTAGTCCCAGCACCAAAAGATCAATTTCACAGGGAACAGGTGGACAACAAAACTTGTGTTGGCAACATGTGTTAATGTCTGGTAGCCCTCTTCCTTTTGCAGAGGCAGAGGAGGGGGGACTACAGGGAAAAGTAGGAGAGATATCATTTCCATAGGGATGAGCTAAAGTACATATTTTTAGAGAGACACAGATGGGTTGGTGGGTGGAAGGAGTATAGGGAGGGGTGGCAGGCAGCACTCACTGGAAGGTCTGAGTATGCCTGTCAGTCAGAACTAATGCTCAGGGGCTTCCATTTCTGCATTCACTAGCTGAGATCCCAGAGAGAACTTGGAGTTTCTCTGTGCCTCTATTTCCTTATGAAATAAGGTTATATATGTTATGTGGTTTCTGGGTGCATCTGGTGAGATGAGGTGCGTGAATATCCATGGTCTCATGGGCATATTTTTGGGGAAACACAGAGGCTGAGTTTCTGGTTACTGACCTACAAACCACCTCCTTAACAAGGACAGTGCAGTATGGGATGGGTTCAGTACTATACTCAGAACTCAGTTTTTTCATTTCTTTTGACTGTGTGGCTTAAGGTTCCAATGCCTCAGTTTCTCTACAGGTAAAATAGTAATGACATTTGCATTTGGTATGAGAAGTGAATGATGCATAAGAGGAATTGGTATGCAATGTAAGAAGAATCTGGACAGGGTCACAGGAAGGATGTTGACTGTATCAGGTCTTGAGGATGTTGGCACCTTCTTGAGTACACAACTCAGTTAATAGGCATCATTCACATCTTGTGTTTCCAGGATTAACACTGAATGGATCTCTGTGATGTTCTTTGTCTTTTTATTAAACAGAGAACCCCCGTGTCTGTCATTCACTAGATTCCAGGGATATAAGAGCCACAAGTCAAAGACTCATGGCAGGGATGTGAGCTGAGCACAAACAGAGAGCATACCGTGGGAAGTCTGGTGGGCAGATGGTGCTGTGCCTTGGGTGTGCATTTTAGGCAATAGGGATTGATTTGGGACTGAAACAGAGTGACTAGAAGAATTATCCAGTTTCCTGATATTTACTCTATAATGGATCTTTTTGTGTGTGCTATGTTTGATAAATGGCATCATATAGCCAAGGCAAACTTCTAACTCACTACGTCAGCTGAGCCTGAGGTTTGAATTCCTGATCCCCTTGCCATTTCCCCAGGATGGCTGAGATTACAGGAGAATGCCACTGTGTAAAATTGTACTGAGAAATATTTGCCAAAATTATAAATATCAAGTTAGAAAGTATTTGATTCAAGGAAGTTTGTCCTAGAACCTGTAGTAATGGATCTTTTCAGTTTCCAACTGCATGATAGAACAAGATAGTCTTTACCCTAGCCTCCTGTATCATTGTGCTTTCACGTATTCATTGGGATTGTGGTAATGCCCTAGAGGAGGGGTATGCAATGGGAAAAGAATGCTGACCTGATTCCTCAGGCACACCTTATGATTTATGCAGCTATTCCTGAGTTGGGTTGAGTTTTATGCTTGTAGTTTTCATAGCCCAGCCTATGAGTTGCAGAATGAATGAAGAATGGTCTTGCTCTCATTTACTGTGCGGTTCTGTGGGCACCAGTCACTGAGTTAGGCTTTTCATGCCCACGGACTTATTTAATTCCATAATAATGTTATGAATTAAATATCATTGACTATTTTTACGAGTTGAAAAACATTCTCTGCAAGATGAAGTGGTTTTCAGAGAGACACGGCAGCCTGAGTGAGAACAGCCTGGGTAATTAAGCTGTCCACCTGCAACTGAGGTTGCTCAAGTGCCCTGCCTGGTGGTGCCCTGGCACAGAGTACTGGCAGGGTAAACATTTCTATTTCTCCCACCAGGGCAGCAGTGGATCACCTGGATCTCCAGGAGACCCTGGCCGTCCAGGAGCCCCAGTGAGTATTCATCTGCATCTTCCTAATGGTGTCAGGGCAAGGGTCTCATGTCACAGGTGTTTCTTTTTTTTTCTCTATCCTGGAAAACACTGGAGAATGAATCCATTTTTGAATGGTACAATTAGTCCCAAAGCCAGAGAATCTGGATATGTAGCTCTTTAAAAGTTTTCTATACATTTGATTTCATTTCTCAATCTCTTCTGTCTGAAACATGGACACCTCCAGCTATTCAATTTCAAAAATGTGCAGTAAGATTTCACAGTGAATGTTGAATGACAGAAATAAGAGGTAGGGTCAGACCAAGAAAACTTGACCACATCAGTGGAATGGGGGTCAGGGGTAAGTATGGGAATAGACATGGCAGTGATGGGTGGGAAGCAAGAAAGTTCCGTGGTAGATAGTTAAAAGAATATGGTGGGTAGATTTTTAGGCACTGATTAGATTCTGGATCTGAGGTTCATGCCAGGTCAGTGAGAAGACATATGGGGCAGATGATTCTTTAATGGATTTTGGGCTTCAGTAGGTTCAAGTCTGAGTATGAATTTCATTCTTACCTAGCCTGCTTATATTTTATTTGCTTAGATTGAGATCTATTCAGGAGCCCCTTGGAAGCATAAAATGCCATTTATAAACGTCCAGGACAGTGTGCTAGCCAGTGTTTTCCAGATAATGTCCAGATAGAATCCAGAGTGACCAGAAATCCACAAATCCTAGGATGCCCAGTCACACTGGTAGAGACTATCCCATTGGTCCAGGGACAACTACAATGAGTGTCTATCCTTAGGACAATTTTAGTAATCTCTATCAGAAACTCCAATGTAGGATCTGTCCTTCCTACTGAAACAAAGTATACATGGTAGGGATGGACCCTGAGGGTAGATCCACCCAAGGGAGAAGCTAGCCTCAGAGAGAGCTGACCCACTTTGGGGCACTTTGTAAAAAGCTAAGGCATTAGACTCAAAGGCTTTCTTCAAAAGCTACAGTCACCACACTGGGATTATTAACAGTGTCATGGGAAGCAGTGCCCAACCTCAAAGAGGCTGCAAAAATCTAGATATAAGTGTTTTTAAGGATCCATTCTTAGATGTCACTGTTTGAATGGGAGGGCCACTCTTTGTCAGTGGAAATTCTTCCCCCCTTCATATTCTTTCTCTACTCCTCAGTCATGATTCCAAGTTTTCCCAACCTCATGTCTCTTTCTGACCCATCCTGTTTCCAATTCAGAGAAGGGGTAGGGGTTTCAGGGATCCACAGCTTGGAAGTCATCAAGTTTCTGAGTCTGGTAGCATCACTTGATGCCTGTTTTTATTAATTCCCTGTTTTTCATTCATAGGGCCAGAAGGGAAACAAAGGAGAGAGTGGAAGCCCAGGACTTCCAGGGTTTCTGGGTCCCCGTGGGCCTCCGGTAAGCAGAGGACATAATGGTGCCAAGATGCCTAGCTCTAGGTGTAACCTTGAGTTTCTCTGCTGTCCTTGCTGATTCATGTCTTTTTTTAAAAAAAAGTAATTTATTTTTTCTCAAATTGTAATTAATTCACACAGGGGTTATAAACACAGAAAGGCAGGATGTGGAGAAGGGAATGACACTGGAGTGTGGGTGTTCAGGGGGAATACACATATCTTTCAGAACCAGGTATAGGCTAGATGAAGGTTCAGGGAACAAGTCACTATGACTCTGCCTATAACTTGCTTGTCCTTATCTAAGTTGGTGTTGTCTGCCAAGGCTACCTATTTACAAGGTCTATGACTACTCAGGCTTGTAAATTTCCACAAAAGCTGCCTGTTTACATTAGCTTATTGCCATCTGTTTCAATGTTTTTCCACTGAGACCCAAGACTTGGTATTAGTATACATGTATGATAGGCCTATTGCTGATTTTAGGCCTATGGCTGATTTTAGGCCTTCAGTGTATAAGCAGGGCTGCCCCTGACATCTCCTCCCTTCTCTACATATAGAAGGGCTGTGGCAATTCTAATCTTGCGAAGGCAGGGATAGAGGCCTGACCTCCAGTACTTGAAGGGGACCTTGTAATGGCTCTGGTCCCCCTGTCGTTGTTCAGTGAGGCACGAGGGCCATACCCATCCCGATGTCTTTTTCCTGGAGAGGAGATACTTTTGACATCATGTCTTAAGGGCCATTTTTTTCATGCTGTGGTGAGATAGTATGATGTCGAAGTGCATCATGATTTAGGAGGCCATTGAGGGCTCATAATTGGCATTTGCATGGGATTCCAAAGCCCAGTACTCTAATTATAAGGCCTTAGGAAGATCATTTAGCATCTCATTATGGTGGCTATCTCCTTACTCAAGTGGTATGACAGCATCATTCACTTCTGTGTATTAAATGTGAGAATCCACATAAAGGGCTAACACAGCCCATTGTAGTACTCAATAAGTAGAGGTGACTGTGATGATTTCTGTAGGTGTTTGTGGTGGATAGCACTGACTGTAATGGCCCTGGAGCCTGAAGGATGCTTATAATGATTGTAAAAATGAACAAGTTTTGGTCAGACCATGTAGGTGATTAATTCACAGCTACAGTGTATATTTGTACCCATCTGGAGCTTTAGTCTTGGTACCCTGACTTGACTTTATAGAGTATATTGAAGCTGTTAAAGGGGTAATACGGACTCATTCATAGCTACACTAAAGCCATGTACTGTTGTTCTTCAGACCCTGGCCTGCAATGATGGATGATAAAGGCTGTATGTGACACTTCAAGATCGAAAGTGGTCCCATATTCTCGAATATCTCTTCTAATTTGATTCTGCCCTTTTCTTTTTAAACATTTATTGATCATTTTATTTGTTTACATTTCAAATGTTATCCCCATTCTCAATCTTCTTTCCATGAACCACTCCCCCCCCCATCCTTTCCTCTTTCCCCTTTGCCTCTGCTCTAGCTACATATGTAGCAGAGGATTCTACCCTTTTCATATGACCACTGGAACAACTGGAGCCTTCCTTTCTTCGTGGTATCAAGTTCACTGTTCTCCACTTCTGATCTGTGGTCTAAGATGTATATGGCTTGTCCACTCACTTCCTTGGATTACTCAATTTCTCTCTTTTCCAGTGCTTGTTTATAATTTGGCTGCCACTGAGCGGCCAAGTACCTATATTTTTCAAAAAAATAAGCCTTAATCAGAAACAGACCAGTTCTCCAGCTTTACTACATGCTAGTCACTGTACTTTACCTATCTCAATTAAAAAGTATGTATCAATGAAAATAACCTATGGTAACCTATGACATGGGTGAAGTGAATCCCTTTAATTTATACATAAATAGATTGAGGCATAATGAACTTAAGGGATTGGCAAAGAAGTCATTAATATCATACAGCCAGTCAACAAAGTAATCAATTTAAAGCTGGACTCCAGCATCTTTTTGTCATCTTACTTAACACATTGTCTCCGGATGATAACAGCCTCTCTCCCATGAGACAGTGGGTAAATCTGACTTCTTAAAACCTGTTTAGTAGAGATACATTGACCCCACTGACAAAAATCCCATAGCCAGGAGGTTTCTTATATTCTGTTTCTATCCTCTACTTTCTTCTGCATGCACTGACCAGAAGACTGCATGTCCAATGGCCTTGTAAGGTAGACTATCTGGATCACTGACATCTGTCATGAAGATTAACATGCACTGGATGGTGCTACTGAACCCACTGACCTTATGTTCTTTTTACAGGGAGAAGCAGGAGAGATAGGAGCTCCAGGAAAGGAGGCAAGTGTTTCCCAACCCTGTCCTTCCTCTTTGGTAGACATTTCCTCTGGGAACCACAGATGGTCTGAGAAGCAATCTCTGAGTTTATCAAAACTCCTTCACCAGTGTCAGTGTGTTTTCTGGACTGTGGTTTTACGTTTTAGTTTCACAAACTGTCACAAGTTTTCCAGCTGACAGGGGCACCAGGCAGCATCATTATGTCAGCAATCATGAATCCTTTCTTACAAGGGTCATTGCAAGAACCTCCCTAATGGTTGCCCCTGGCCAACCATGACCTTCTACAGCAGCTAGAGATCCATTGGACATCAACATTTTATGCTATTATACAGTTCAGATTACAGCTGCATTCACTCTAGTCTCTAAATTAAATACCTAATTAGTTTTCAGGTCTCTCTGTCTCTCTCTCTCCCCCCCCTTCCTCTCTCCTTCCCTCCCTCCCTCCTTTCTTCCCTCCCTCCCTCTCTCTCTCTTTCTCTCTCTCTCTCTCCTTCCCTCCCTTCCTCCTTCCCTCTAAATACTTTCACACTTTCACCTACCATCCCTTCTCCTTCTCTGTGGACCAGCAGAGGAGAGCACTTGTTGAGCTGCTCTGTTGATCATCTGCTCTGTCCTGTGCAAGCACACGAGCCTAGCTCACAGAAGGTACCAAAAGTGTTTGAGCATGAATGAATAGAATGAAGGATGTAGAGAAAAGACTTTAAAGGAAATTGTTTATAGTATATCAAAGTCTGCACTCTTGACTTGAAATATAACACCCTTGTCACTGTGTCCCTTTGGGCCACTGTTATAAAAGATTGCCCTCCTTGAGGCGGGATCAAATATTCCAAGTCTGAGTACCTTGCGCTTTTGACCCATAGATTGTCACTCACTAGACCCACTCCTCAGTTGGTGATCAATCATTGTTCTTGCTTACTAGGTTAAGTTGGAGGAAATAATGCCCCTTCTCCCATTTCTGAAGGTTGCATCAACTCTGCAAGCTCTCAGTTATATTGCTGCCCACATGAGTTCTCTGTACCTTTCCATTGCCCTCCAGAATAAAATTCAGGCTAACCAGGCCTGGCAAATCTCCCCTAATCCGGTCACATTCTCTTTCAAGCGTGACCTGCTCCTTTTTGATGGGGAACACACCACAGAGATAATCACTGAGGCTTCCTCTTTGCCCTGTCCTCCAGAGTCTTTTTTCTCCTGTAATCCCTGTTGAATTTTATCTGAACTTCCAGGCTGTGTGCTTTCTAGCATCCAATGTCAAGTGTTTTTTTTTTTTCTCTTGAATTACTGTGGGACCTTTATGTGGTAATATTATAGAAAGAAAAATTGTTTGTTGTCTGTTAGAATTGGTATACCCATACCTACCTCTGAACCAGGCTGTGAGTACCCTGAGAGAAAGGATCATGTCCCCATGCTACTTTTCATTGGCCCTGGAGCTTGGAATAGTACTAAGGAAGTAGGGTGGTGGATGTTTGTAGTATGAGGTGACTGAGAAAACTGGATTCAGAAGAAGTAGAATGCTTTCATTCAGGTTTAAAGCATAGATGAATTTACATTTTAATTATGTGTATGTGTGCAGCTTTGGTTGGATATGTGCATGTGAGTGCAAGTGCCATTGGAGGCCAGAAGAAGGAGTCAGATCCCCTAGAGCTGGGGTGACAGGTTGCTGTGAGCCCCCTTAAAGGATGCTTGAAACTGAGCTCAGTTTTCTGCAAAAGTTGTACATGCCTTTAACTGCTAAGCTGTATCTCCAGCCCATGTCTACATTCTTAATGTATACTATGTCTATCAACTATGACAGGCTAGGCTGGACTGACTGCCCTAAAGTCAAGCCTTTGGGTTGGCAAATTTTGAATACCTGTAGATTCAGGGTGGACTTTGGTATAGGAATATGATGTCCTATTTAATGAATAAGGTTTCCAAACTTTTGCCAACTGAATATGAACAAACAAACATGTCTATGTTCCCAAATCTTAGAAGAAGAAATTTAGGTGGCAGTTAGCAGGAAGGTGACTTCTTTTCAGAGGGGATATCAAGAGTCTTGAAAAGAAAAGGAAATGGGGACAGAGGGAAGAAAGAAAATGGGGAGGGAGAGAGGGAGGAAGAGAGGCAGGGATAGAGGGAGGAAAAGGAGGGAGGGAGCAAGGGAAGAAAGGAGGGAGGGAGGGAAGTGATATTCCAGGTGGAGAGGATAAAAGAAACATAGGCTGGAAGAAAAAAAAGTGCCTCAATTGTAGAAAGTATGGAGGAGTGACTTTTAGTCCTCCTGTGACTGTCTGTATACCCACAAAAGTTTTAAGAGCATAACAATAGGTTGGTTTTTTTCCCAGGTGCTGGGTGGGAAGAGAGAGCTTCTGAGGCCAAACAAAGCCATCTGTTATGAAGGGTCCAGGAGAAGATGGTAGGGAAAGGCTGTGAGCCTGCAGAATAGCAAGGTCTTGAACATCAGAGGTGATGTTAGCTTGTCCAAAGACCAGTTTTTGGAAGGCCCCAGGGTATTCCAAGGAGAGTCATGTTTTTCTCTAGAGAAGCAGAAGAAGACATCAAAGAAGCCATACTATTGACTCATGTTTTCCCAGGTCAAGAATGGGCAGGGGCAGGAATAACGGAATGAAGAGGGAGTGGCTTGATATCCAGACTGCCCCTGTAGAAGATTTTGAGGTGGAGGTGTGGTGGATGGGGAGCTTAGTTTCTCCAGCATCCCCTTTCCCCAGGAAGTACTGTGTAGAAGAAAAGCAAAGATGGAGGCACAGATGGCAGTGGTAAAGCGACTACTGTCCTCTTATCTCATTGCAGGGTGCTCCTGGGAAGCCTGGAGAGCCAGGATCCAAAGGAGAGAGGGTAAGTTGAAATGTGCAGCCATCTGAGCATGCTCAAGGTGACCTTCCCATAGTTACAAGGCTGGAATTTATTCAGGGCAGTTAATAAGCACCCCAACCTTGACTGCTGTCTTCTGCAAATGACTTTCCATGAAAAAAAATCCAAGCCCTTAATGCAGTAGGGTTATTTCCCCCAAATACTGACATAGTCAGTTTTCTTTCCTGTTTCTTTTTTGGCTATTTTGAGGAATAAAATCATGACCATAATTATCAATGCAAGACAAGTGTTGGGAGACTCTGACAGATTCCCTGCTCACCATGTGTGAAGGCGCATGCAGGATATGCCTGGCTCCCTAAGTGCCAATTTGCTGGGAGCCAGATTTGTCACTGGAGGTGACAAGGGAACAGATTTTCCCATAATGAGTCGCCTTGGCGCCACACTCTGAAAGCCTTTCTTTACATTTCATTTTTCCAGAAACCAACAGGGGAGAGACATTTTTCTTACAGAAGTGCAGGAGGGGGCAGGGAGCATTCTCACACTCAAATGCACAGGCTCTTGCTCCATTCAGGGCTGTGCATGACTGGTTTGCCCACAGTCCTGTGTCTGGTCAGCTGTTGTACTACATGGATGATATCCGATCCCCCACCCCCGCCCATGGTTGTTTTCCATGGTCCTGCAAAGAATTTATCTCAGCTTTCTTCACAAGTTGGATGGGTAATGAGCTGGCAGGCTTTTCCTGCAGCTTGGAAAGGGAGAGATGGAAGTGGTCTCTGCCACTCTTGTATTCCCTTCTTGTCTCTCCTTCAGATGACTTTGTTCCCACTGTCCTGTGGCTGTTTAATCTTGAATATTGGAGCTTTGTACTTTCCTGCCACTGAGTCGATTTTCTCCTGAGTGTCACTCAGGGGTCTTGAGAGTGATTGCCTAGGAGTGTGGGCATGAGTCCTGGTTCAGAGCCAGGGTTTTCAGCCCACAGACAGGAAGCTGTTCTTCATACACAATCAATAACTGGGGAGCTTGCCTGTCCTCTGTTAAGTGGTTCCATGGAACCTTGCCACCAAGTGCTTATATTCCTCATTCCTTCATCCTGGGAGTGTTTAAAATGGGGGAGAGATCTTTTCATCACACAGGAGGGTTGTTGAATAGAAAAAGCTGTGCCACATGCATGGTGGTACGTGGTATCCAGGTGACTCAACAGGGTGTTCTATACCTCTGAATCGAAAATCATCCAGCTTATTTCAAGACCCTATGAAGTACATCAGACCTGGAAAACCGGAACAGCTCTTTGGAGTTTGCCTAAATTAAAATCTCAAAAGTCATTGATACTTTGATTGTTGTTGGAAAATTGAAAGTCACACAGGAGCCTGGTTAAAGAGAATACAAGAGGAAACAAAAAGTGGAAGTCAGGCATATATCTCCCATGTCATTTCAAAGCTCCCCTTCCTGTGTGCCTGCCTTCCACTCTGGAGTCTCTGTACACAGAGTTTCAAACATGCATGTTTCAAACATGCATGTGCTTTCACTTTTACCCTCTCTCACCCTAGCAGATCACCTTTTCCATGGCATGTTTCTCTATTTCAGAACCATGCCCTGTTCCTTCTCAGAGACTCCTGCCATGTTGATGGCGACACCACATTTGGTTCCATCTTGATTCTCCTTCTTTCTTCTGCCCCTCCCCCTCTGTGGTATGTCACAATGGTTTTGGCTCCATTTTACTCTGAGAGCCTTAATATTGGCTACTATGTATTCAGTCCTAACTATCCACTGAGACTCGCTGACCAGATACACAGAAGTATCTAAGAGCCAAGTACTAGGCTGCCTTCCCTGGGGTTACTGTGCCCCAAAATTTCAGAATCTGGCTCACTGAGGGGGGAGGACCATAGGTAGTTTAAGCACCACAGAGTGAGCCTGCCAATCCTCCATGGACCTTCTGGAGCTTAGAGAAGACCTACAAGGAAAGGCTGCTGATCTAGTAGACTGTCACTCCCACTGAAAGAGGCCAAAACCACTACAGGGGTGGAGTAGTAGCTCGGGCTCTTTTCTACAGCTAGGCAGCCATAGCCATTTCCAGGGATGCACAATTGGAGTTTGTCCTAAGACTATAAAATTAGTGTGTGTGTGTGTGTGTGTGTGTGTGTGTATGTGTGTGCTGTTGGGCTGGGGTAATACAGATTAAATGATGTTGAGGCAAGTGCATGCTAAGGAAATACTTTGTAACTGAGCTGTATCCCTTAACATCGTAGTTTGTGACATAACCCTCTAACTTGTCCAGGCTGGCTTGGAACACACTGCAGCTGGGTGACCTTAAGCATACCTTAAGCTTACAATAACTTCCCCTTGGCCTCCTGAGTAGTTATAATAACAGGAAGGCCTATGCCATTAACCTCATTAAAAATTCTTCTTGTTTTTAAAATGTGTAAAATGACAGCTGTGTTTCTATCCTTCTCCCTGACAGACCTGTTTGTGTGTGTGTATGTGTGTGTGTGTGTGCATATGTTTGTGTGGACAAATGCATCTGTGAATGTATACATGTGTATGCTCAGGTCTGCAGTTAGGTGTAATCCTCAATCACTCTCCACTTTATTGGTTGAGATAGGTTCTCATTGAATCCAGAGGTTACCAAGTTGCTAGGCTACTAAGCTCCAGAGTTCTGCCTATTTGTGCCCCCAGATGTAAGAAATCACACCTGGTTTTTGTGTGAGTACTTGAGATCCAAATTCAGATCCTTATCATTGTAAGGCAAGCTACTGAGATATCTCTCTAGACCCTTCCCTGTCATCCTTACAATTAACAAACATCCTTACATAACACAATGTTTTATGCCAACAAAGCAAACTTGTTGATATTTCTATTCTTCTCCATTTTTTACACACTGTGGACACTGTTCCATAGATATAACTTTTCATACAATAATAATACCTGGTATCTGTCCATGTAACCTTTTATAAGCAGTCCCAATGCTGGCAACTGTAATGTGCTCTGTAGTATGAGAACGTCAATACACCTGGCTATTCCTATAGTGACAGCTTTGTTAGTGGCTTATTTGGGGATGGATTTCAAAAATAAAAGTTCTCCTCCTGACTTGCACAATGTTGTATAAGGTAATATTCTATTTCTGGGCTCCTTTGCCCAGTTTTTTAAGTCAGGACTATGGATGAGATAATTCTGATCCTTCCTTTCCTGGACTCATCTATGACTCACCCAGGGCTGGGACACCTCCCCCACCCCACACTCCTGCCAACAGGACGATGATAGTACCTTGGACTTCAGTTTGAGTATTTAGATCATTTCCCAGAACTGAGCCACCTGCTGATCTATTCTTCTCTTCTATTTAGGGAGACCCTGGGATCAAAGGTGACAAAGGACCACCAGGTGGGAAGGGCCAGCCTGGAGACCCTGGAACCCCAGGCCACAAAGGTCATACTGGCCTAATGGGTCCCCAAGGACAACCAGGGGAGAGTGGCCCTCCTGGGCCCCCAGGGCCACCTGGCCAGCCAGGATTTCCAGGACTGCGGGTAAGGATGGTATTAAAGTTTCAGACAGATTCCATTATAATGGTGGCAAAATGGAGTTTGAGGTCTTTGGGAAGTACAGCATATACAGATACCAGGCTTCTGGCTATACAGCAAGGGACAGAGTACTCCTTCTCTCTGTGCCTATCCTTTGAGAAAATGTTCTCCACATTTGTTAGGATGAAGTGGCATGGCACACGTAACTCCAGAGTTGTTCAGAAACAGATTCTCATCTTGTTGTACCTTCTACCCCAGGGATGATAACGCTCAAGGCTTAATGTCTTGAGCTGTAAATCCCTTCTTTCTTGGCACCCTATGCAGAGGTAATTGAGAAAATGAGATCTCATTGGCCCAACAAGCATCATGGGTGGTTCACCATCCGTTCACTCCAGGGCATGACAGTCCTCTCTACTGTCCTGGACACTGGAGGTGAACAGAAAGCTTGGTTACTTTCTTTACACTTATGTCATTCTAGTGGCAGAACTCTTGATTTATCTTGCTTTGGATCACAGACACAGGTTGTCAGGTAACAGGAACTGAACTCTTGATGGGGATTCTCATCCAGTCCCTGTGACCTCTTCTCCTTGGCAGTCCACTTAGTCGTCTGAAGAGCTTTATGCCTAAGCACAGGCATGGTCACTCCCTGTCCTCTGACTCTCTGTGGCTTCATCATTTGCTTCTGGTTGTGGTGATTCTAAAGATTTTGGTGCCCAGAGCCTGCCCCTCTTGGCTAAGGCAGGGGAAATTAAAAGGACTCAGTTGGCATCCAAAGCCATCATGAAGCCTTGCCAAGCTCTGTGTGTCCCCTGGCTATGTAGAGCAATAGAGCATCTAGGGATAATACAGAGGTTTCTGGTCATAGAACAATCAGATAACAAGGGGACAGGATCTTTTCCATGCAATGTATTGGACTAATAGAAGCACACGGTGACTCATTCTTGAGGGTAGCATTACCCTACAGGAGTCAAATAAGAAAGGGTGATCCTGATAAGGCATAGAGAATCCTTTTTGACGCCATTCTGTGAATTATCATCACAATGTGATCTTTCTTATAGATAAATTCCTCAGCTTTCAAGGATCACTTAGATGCCTGTGACAAGTATGGAGTTGAACAGGACAGTACTGGCCCTGGGGAATGTAGGGGAAAGATACCAACCAGAAGGATCAAACTAGATTTCACATAGGAGGCAGCCCATAAGCTATGTTCTGGAGGTAGGCAAGCCTTGGGGACCATACTGCTGAGGTCCAGTATATGGCTGGTTTTATGGATCCAGTGGTTTGTATGAGGGAAGAATAAAGAAGATATAAGAGTCTTGAGGGGAGAACATTGTAGCTCCTAGAACCTAAGGTCCAAGCAGCCATGCTAATGGCATGGTCTGAATAGCAAGAGAGGAATGTACTGCAGATGTGGCATGAGATAGACAGAGGGTGTGATTTCCTCATCCATGCTGCTCACAAGCTTCTTGATTTTGGGAGTGACACTGGGATCTTCAAGGAAGAGGAGAAGGAAGAGGAAGAAGAGGAGGAAGAGGAGGGGGAGGAAGAGGAGGAGGAGGAGTTACTGGGAAGATGAGTAACTTCTTTCCTCTCTTTTAGGGCGAGTCTCCATCCATTGACACCTTACGGCGCCTCATTCAGGAAGAGCTTGGGAAGCAGCTAGAAGGTGAGTAGCTGGACTTGATTGGAACTGCCAGAGTAAGATCCCCAGTGAGCAGCTGTTGTTTTCATCATTAAGTACTAGGACAGGGGAATGTGGAGCAGCAGGCTTGAGAGGCAACCTGGGAGCCCAGCCTTACACTCCAGATCCTCCCTCAGATTCTTCCTGGTCACCTCTAGTGACAATGACTCTAGTGAATAATGACACCTAGATACCACCATCTGCTGTGTGGTGATCACCTACACTTTCTGTGTACTCAACCATGGCCGTGATTGATCAGTGTTTTGGGAAGGTGTTCAGGGGGCCTCACTGAACTCCAGAGGAAGAGATATGTCAGGAGACAGACAAAATGACTGCACTGTCATCAGAAGACATCTGTAATTTCCTTTTGACACAGAGGGCATTGAAAGAGGACAGTTGTCTCTGCTTCAGATAGCTCTAAGGTAGGGAATGGAGTGGGAAGCTGGAATGGTGACAGCATTTGGGATTTCTGTCTTGGGAGGGGTCTCAAAGTTTGAGCATGACCAATGACAGCTTAGTAATGACCATGGGAGACAGCATGGTTATTGGAGGGTTAATGAAGAACAGGGAGGCTGAGCTACTGGAGTATAAGTCTGGGATTTACCGCCTTATTGTCTGTGCATTATACCACCTGGTCTGTTTAGTAGCCACTCTTCCCATTTCCCCTGTGATAAAAGTTTAGAAGAAAATGCTCACAACCCTGTAACATGAAAGAAGTGGATCCTAAAGGTGCTTCCATTCCTATGTCCCATGTCCCAATACTATGTGTCTCATATATTCAGACTGCCCTGGAGACAAGGATGTAGAAGCAAAGTGCCCCTCTCCCTTGCCCCTCTGTAATCTAGGTGAATACGCATGAGCTATGGATGAGGAAGGGGAGGGAAGGCAGGGATAGGCTAGAAAGAATGTTAGCCTTGCTAGACTGGGCAAGTCTGACAACTTGTGTGTGGGAGTTCTAAGTTCTACCTCTTGAATGTTAGACTTGTCAGTGCTGGAATGGCCTCTGTCCCAGTGGAATGTCAACCACAATTTTTTAAGGGTCTGGGAACATCTGCTGGAATGAGTCCCTTTCAAACAGCCTTTGAGGAGGAAATATCTACTTCCAGCAAAGATAAGAAAAATCAAAGACTCAGACAAGTTCAGCAAATTTCCAAGGTCACTTAGGTAGCGTTCACAGACCCTTGGGCCTTGTAAAGGAGCAACAGTGAAGGGAGTCAACGAGACGGTCAGATATCCCACCTCTTCTTTAGTCTTACAAACCAAAATGTTAGTGTTTATCCTAGTCACTCCTTCCATTGGACAAGCATTTACAATAATAATAATAATAGTAATAATAATAATAACAATAATAATAATAATAATAATAGGTAAGTACCGGATCCAATGTCGAGCAGGAAAGTGAGCCCAGCCACAGTGGGAGCTCTAGGTTTTAAATAGATTCTATAATGCTTGTATCACAGATATGTAAGCATCTGCTATTAACATCTTATTTGGCTGTTCGGTTGTTGATGGGGGACTTGATTCAGAAGATAAAGATCACTAAATAGCTGTTTGTAAACCACTTAAACATCCTAGGCCTCAGTTTCTCCAACTGGCACTTACAGCCACTGCTGTTACTGCTGCAATACTGCTGGTCCTGCACTGTTCAGTTCATACTACTATTAATTAGTATCTGCTGCTACTGCCACTGCTGTAGACGTCTATGCAGTCAGAAGTGTGTGTACAGGAGCTGTTTCTTGTCTTTATCCCCGGTTGTTTTCACTTGCAGTTCCAGCTTGCAGTGAGCTGCCAATATGTTCCTTGTCTGCTTTCCATTCTTCAGGAACTTCTTTCTTCTTTCCATTCCATAGCCAAACTTGCCTACCTCCTGGCCCAGATGCCTCCAACACACATGAAGTCCTCTCAAGGCAGACCCGGGCCCCCTGGACCTCCTGGGAAAGATGGGCTGCCAGGCCGGACAGGCCCCATGGGTGAACCAGGCCGTCCTGGCCAAGGTGGTCTGGAAGGACCCTCTGGACCAATGGGCCCCAAAGGTGAGTGGACAGCATTTCTGAAACTCTGCTGAGTTAGGACTCGGGTGTGGGATGTACACCTGGCAGAGATACATTATTCATCGTGTTTTCATTTCCATCAGCCCAGCAACACTGAATTTTGGCATGGTGTAATTTTTTCGTACATTAAAGATTTTCATACTTGACAGTTTTGAGAAATTATGCCAGGAAGACTAAACCTGTTTTTTCTACTTTCTTGTTTCCTGTCCATCTCCCTTGCTCAAGTTACAGGGGCAATGCAAATGTTTTCTTCTTCTTTCACCCAGATTGGAACCTACTGAGTGATATGACATTTAATCTCCAGGCAATGGATATTAAATGCCATCTTTAAAATCCAGCCAAATGGTTTTGAGCTAAAATGGCCACTAGCTGTCCGGCTCTTTGGCTGGGTAACCTATCTGAGCATTGGAACTCTTCTTCAAGTGGAAGAGCCTGCGCCAGGCTGCACAGTAGCAAGCATGTCAGAATGCTTTCTGCAGACAAGCAGACATGAAGCAGAGACTGGACTCCAAACTTCCAAGCCTGTGGTCCACTTTCTCCTGATGAGTGGACTTGTGGGTTCATTTTGGTGACCTTAAGCTAAGGAATCAGATGAACCTAACAACTTCTCTTTTGATCTGGCATATCCTTATAACTGTTTAGCCATCTATCCCCTGTGATATTTCTTCTGTTTAAAGAGGTTTTGGTTAAATCTGTGTGTTCCTGACTATCTGTATTCATCCATGAGTACACAAAATATGCCCATAGGAAACGTACTTCATAGACTACATTGGATTGTGGTGAAATACTGACCAAGTGTAACAGAACAGGGAAGGTGAGACGCTGGAAAGACCTGCTGTTTGATTATGAGCTCCTGCTGCTCTTGGAGAGGACCAGGGTTCAGTTCTCAGCACCAACATGACTGCTCACAACTGTAGTTTCAGGTTATCCAATGTTCGTTCCTTCTCTCCTCAGGTACCAGGCACACATGTGGTATACATGTATATATGCAGGCAAAACATTCATCCACATATAATATAAATCAATAAATATAGAACCCCCAAACAATGCCACATGCACACACGCACACACACACACACACACACACACACACACACACAAATAAGATTAGTGTTCTAAAAACTAGTGAGCCATAAGGTTTAAATTTATATTATAAAAAATATGTTGTATTCAGGAGATACTTTGGAAGCAATGTAACAAAATGTATTACTTCCTAATAAAATAATTTGAAAGAGAGATTCCAGTGTCCTTGGTTGGGACTCCTCTTTCTGTTCTTATCATGGCAATATTACCATTAGTAGAAGTAACATTGGCAGTAGAATTGATATTAGCTATAGCAGTTCTCCTAGTGGTAGAAGTAGTAGTATTTACCACGGTATTATTGATAGTGATAGTCCCAGTTAAATCAAACCTGGAAGCTCTTAACTCAGATATGGTCGAAATATTGCCCCAGAGAACATGATACTTCCTTTTCTCTCCTTTCTCTTTCTCTCTCTCCTTGAGACTATATATCATATATATGTCATTTTTTTTATTCTCTGGATAGTATTTATCATTTGCCTCTCATGGAGTGTTCTTTGTCCTGTTCCATTGTCTTACTAGATTTCAGTATTCCTTAGGTTAGAGCTGAGTCGCATTAATGTGTATTACTACATCCCCTAGTTTGCTGAATTCATTTATTTATCGACTCAATTCCTTCTTCAGGAAGGTTTGGATAAGAAGCTTTGAGTGCATTGGCATGTACACCAGTAATTATGTCATACATTCAGGCTGATATGTGTGTGAGTTATGGGTGTGTGAATTTGGTTGCTCATGGTTTAGTGAATGTATAACTGTGTACTTTGTATTTGCTTCTATGTATGTGAATGTGTAAATATGTATGTAACTGGATCAATAGGTGCTTGGATGAATGTGTATGCATAAAGATGCGTATTTGAGAATATGTTCCGGAGAAAGCATTCGTTTCTTTTAGTGTTTCCATGTATAAATTCTGAGTCTGAAAATATGCTTGTGTGTGTGTGTGTGTGTGTGTGTGTGTGTGTGTGTGTGTGTATGTGTGTGTGTATGCACGCACGTGCATGCACACGCATGCATGAGTGTATGTGCATGTTGGGGGTATGTTACATAAATAATTTGTGTGAACAGGCTGGTGTGAGTGAATTGTTTCAGTGATCCTGGGCTCTATCAGTGACACAGGGTATCCTGTGGGTTGAGACTCTCTGTCTCTGCCTTCATCATGAGTCTCCACCACTCAAGATTCATATTCTTCCCATCAGGTGAAAGAGGAGCCAAAGGTGACCCTGGCACACCTGGAGTTGGCCTCCGAGGAGAGATGGGCCCCCCTGGAATACCAGGTATGAAGGTTCAGGGTTTCAGGCTGGGTGGACATGGACCATGGAGTCAAAGACACACAGTGAGTGGTACCCGTGCTTGTAGGAAGAGAGGAGGACCTGGGCCACTCTAAGGAGGAACAGAGAACTTGTTTGTTTATTGTTTAATGTAATATTTCTCAAATCCTTGAGGCATACTTTCTAAGTTGAAAGTTCCAATGACTTATTTCCTGTTTCCCAATGACCAGAATAAAGTATATTGATGTTTCCTATGTAAAGATATGGTAAATATTTGGGATGATGCAGAAGCAAATTGCTCCAATGTGTTCATTGCATATTGTATCCATGTCCCCAAAAATTCTCATTGTAGGGTTGAATATTTGGCTCACAGATTAGGAGTACTATCTGCTTTTTGTAGAAGAACTGGGTTTGATTCCCAACACTCACCTGGCACTTCAAAAACATCTGTGACTCTACTTCCAGGGGATTTAATATCCTTTTCCAGTATACACCAATACTTCAAGTACTTAGTGCACATACATAAATGAAAGCAAAAGAGAATATACATGAAACATAAATAAGTATTCACTAAAACACATCATGCCCCATAAATATGCAGAATTATTATGTTCCAATTAAAAATAATAAAAGACTAAGTATTGTGAGAAATGGTCATGGAGAGAGAAAGATTGTCATATTCTAAATAAGAATGGGCATGTTGGAGATTCATCTCTCCTTTGGACTTTCGTTCTAGACTTGAACTCACCTTAAGTGGTTAGAACCCCACAGGCAAGGTGACAGTTATTTTCTTAAACCCCATATTCATTCATTAGTATTTCTCAGAATATGCCCAGGGAACCTTAGTCAAAGGTTTAGCCAAAGGCCAGCCCTCTTGGAGCTGAGGGGTTGCAGAGTCTTAGGAATTTTACTACTGAAACCTAGAAATAACTAGTGAAATGGCAACCAGTTGACCACTGTGCCTAGTGACTGTACTGGAAATGCTCCTGAGGGAAGCAGTTGTCACACTGGAAAGAAGAGAGTGGCAAGACTCTCAACTCTAGATTGTCAAATTCTACCTCAGCATTGTGTGTGTGTGTGTGTGTGTGTGTGTGTGTGTATGTGTTAAATATGTGTATGTATGAATGTATGTATTTGGGGAGCAGTGGTAAAAATTGAACCTAGGGCTTCATGCATACTCTACCGCTAAACTCCATTCTCAGCCCTGAGGATTTTACCTTTTAAATTTAACTCCTAAATTTTGTGCTTACTCTGGATCATTTATGAACATCTGACCTACATGTAATTTAACTTTAGTTTTATCCTGCCATGATTTCCCAAATTTGCTACAGTAGGATATGTTATTTTTCTATTAGAGATGATGCTACATAAATATTGTTTATATCTTGATAATTTTCAAATACAGTATAGTATAGTATAATATAATATAATATAATATAATATAATATAATATAATATAATATAATATAATATAAATACTACTCTGAAATAGAAGTTGTAGAACGGCAGAGTGGAGTCCATTTAGAGGAGAGTGTATATAGATTATCTGACAGGTTATACCTGGCGAGGTTGAATCAGGGACCATTGGCAGTATATCTCAGTGGAAGGGATGATTAGCATTGCTGAACCAATGGTTTCTTGTAAACTGGGCTGTGCACTAAGTAACTCTTGTCAGAACAACAGCAGTGTTCCAAAGTTCTAAAGTCACTCACAATGGGAAGTTCACTTTTTGCTTAGCTTCTAAGAAATATTTTGACAGTGTGCTAAGAAGTGAGGGAGAATGTGACCTGGAGAACATGGTGGCCAAGTTGGCCACCACACCTAGCACCAAGATTCCCAGTTCAGGCAAAAGAGGAAGCTAGATAAATTACACATGATACATACTTGGAAAGTGTAGGCATATGCACACTTGGTAAGTGTAGGCACAGCAGTTTATTTATATTTAATATTCTCTCAGTCTAAATTTTTGACTCTATGTTGGCCAGTTATGTATATCCTAGATGCTATTTTTTTTTAACTTGGTATAATAGAATAATATGGGAAAGTATGTGGTTCAGGTTTAACAAGTAAAATTTAGAAAAAAAATAACAGAACCCAGACTATTTGAATGTTGAATTTTGGAGGATCATGAGGTGTCCCTGTAAGAACAGGTACATGGGATCAAGGCTCACTAGGCTGTTTTGGTGTGCCACTCTGAATTCAGATGTGTCTATTAAGACTGTGTGAGAGAATAGTGTTCAGCTTTCTCATCTGACTTGAGTGGAAAGCTTACACCCCAGGGGCCTTGAGTTACCCTTGTCTGTTTCTTCTCCTTGGTATCTGGATATCTTCCCTATCTCAGACAGTGAAGGTGCCAACCCCTGCTTGCAAAGGTGCTATTCTATATGATACCCACATGGCCTTTCTTTCTTTCAGCCTAGAGCACCAACAGAGGCTATTCTCTCTGAGTATTCATTGAACCCTAGTTCATAAGACAAAGATAACAGGGCTGTTTCACTCCTGGCTATAGAATGTAAATTGCTTTCTATTTCTTTTGCTTCCTGGGCCAGGCCAACCTGGGGAACCTGGATATGCTAAAGATGGACTTCCAGGAAGCCCTGGCCCTCAAGGAGAGACAGGACCAGCTGGACATCCTGGCCCTCCTGGTCCTCCCGGCCCCCCTGGCCAGTGTGACCCCTCCCAGTGTGCATACTTTGCAAGTCTTGCTGCCCGGCCAAGTAACGTGAAGGGCCCATAGAAGATTCTAGAACATCAAAACACTACTATGGATTTCTGAAACTTGAACTCGGAGCCCATTGGGAAGCCAGAAGCCTTGAAACATTTCAGAACCTCCTTTTCTCTCCCCTTCTTACCTCCCACCTTTTCTTCCTGCCTCCTTGCCTGCCTTAATTGTCTCTTACCTTCCTCAGAGACCTCACAGTTATTAAAACCAACAGATACTGTCGGACAGTCAGGTTATTATTAATATTGTTGTTATTTCAAATGCTAATAGTTTTGGCGGAGCTTTCTGGTGGACAGGAAATAGTTTCCTGGCTCAGCTCCCCTCTCAGCCCTGGCTGAAGTATGACAGCCAATTCTGAGGAACACTTGGTGCTATGCAACCCTGACCATGTATGCACTTGCTGATTTTACCTCTTTCCTGGAAAGGAAGCTTTAAAGATGGAGACCATAAGGTTGTTTCCTCAGCTGTGCCTAAAGATGGCCAAGGGAAAAGTAAGTTTGAAATCCCCACCTCCCAGGAGAGACTTGAAGCAAGAAGAAGAATTTGCAGCCTGGAAGAATGCATTGACCTCTGGAGACAAGATGAACATCTGGAGTTCAGAACTGCCTCAGCACATTGGGGAAGGGTGGTGCTTCAAGCTACCAGAACTCCAAAAGAAGTCACATAGAATTGGCAGTAGCTTGTGTCTGGACCATCTACAAACAAGCTGATGCTGAAGAAGAGTTCCCAGGTGTGACTTTGCTTCTGACTCTGGTATGGACCCCTTCAAGTTCCTCATGCTGGTTTCAATTGTGTGAGTTGCAAAATAAAAGTTATCAATGGTCACTTGTTTTACTTACTTGTGGGTGGTTCACTACCAAGTACATGGGGACCTGTATCAGTCGTGTCTTTGTGTGTGTGTGTTGTGTGTGTGTGTTCTACATGTACACTGAACAGATGCTCACTAAATGTATTTCCCTCTCAGTTGCCCCTGGGTATTCATTTTCTTTCTTTAGCCTCTCCTGGGCACTAAGTGAGTCTTCTTTGAACTGCAACACCATGTCTACCTGTTCTCTCCAGATGTTCACCACCAAGCCCTTTGAGGATGCATCCCAGGTGTTTGGAATATGGAAAGAATGCTCAGAACCAGTGTGGTCTGGGTCTGTTGCAAATTGGAAAATTGACTTCAATGGGCTGGTTCCTGTAGATATATATCCTTAACAGGTCTGAACAAATTACCCTATTTGTGTTCTTCACTTGACCGAGGAAATTGGTTGATGGATGGACTGATGAAGCTGTCCATTCATAAGATGCTTTAGTTGGGGTTTCAATTGGTGTGATAAAACACCTTGATCAGAGGCAAGTTGTGGAGAAAAGGATTTGATTCAGCTTACAACTCTTAGTTCACACTTGATCACTAAGGGAACTCAAGGCAAGAACCTGGAGGCAGGAGCTGAAGTAGAAGCCATGGAGGAATGATACTTCCATGTCTTGCTCAACCTGTTTTCTTATTCCATCAATAATCGCTTGCCCAAGGAAGGAACCACCCCCATGGAGCTGGACTCACCCACATAAATTATTAATCAAGAAATTGCACTACAGACTTGGCTACAGGTCAGTTTTATGGGGAAATTTTCTCAATTGAGAGTCCCTCTCCTCAAATGACTCTAGCTTGTGTCAAGTGAACATAAAATTAACCAACACACATGTCCATACATGCAAGTGGCTGGTTCCTCACAAACTTACACAGCATTAGTTCACCAAGTCCCTCTATTGTACCTCTTGAATTAGATACTTCAAATTGGTTTAGGAACCAGAAATAAAAGCATCCAAAGAAGGCTAAAAGATTGATTAGATAGAGAAATATTACTTTAGTGATTTTAAATTAAGATCCAAGATCTATTTTTTCTATTAGGCAAGTTGATGCTGATGCAGAAAAGTGGATTTTGGTAGGGTTGAGGTGGTCAGCATACATCTGTGCAGGAGAGATTTTCTCTGGAGCCTCTTTGATATCTACCAGCTCAGTTGTCTTCAACACAATATAAGATGTCAAAGTAATGTAATAATTTTGTTTGAAGGAATATCAAGAACTCAGAACTCTCTTCCAGTGATCATGACCCAGATCAAGAGGCAAATGTAGTATGTGCCTGTGTGTGTGTGTGTGTGTGTATGTGTGTGTGTGTGTATGTGTGTGTGTGTGTATGTGTGTGTGTGTGTATGCCAAGAATTTGTGGACAAAATATTTAACCTGAAAAAACATGCTGCCCTTTAACATTTATTTTTACTTTATATTTTTTGTTAAAATATATACATTGAGGGGAGTTTTAAATCCACAGAAAAATTAAGACAGTAAAATTTCCTATGTATTCCCAGTCCTCCTCTCAAAACTGCGCTGTAGAATACACATGTGCTACAGTTGATGTACACTGTTAGCAGCTGGCACTCACACCTTACATTCTGGTTCATTGCTGGACTCTAGGATTAGTCTGAAGTACAGTGACATGTACCCGCCAGTATAGTTTTACACAGAGAAGTTTCATTGTCTCCAAAACCTGTTGTACTTTATCAAATCATTCCTCTTTTCTATCTAACCTCAATAATGATGGTCTTTATGCCCTTCCTGTAGTTTTGTTTTTTTCCAGAGTGTCATAGTTAGTATCCTATAGATTGAAGCCTTTTAAAATTACCCTTTTTTGACTTAGAAATGTACACTTAACATTCTTCTGTGTGTTTTGTGGCTGGGTGACTCATTCCTTTTTATTGCTCAATAATATTCCATTGTTTAGAGATGCCATAGCTTTTATATCAACTCTTCCACTTATTGCCAACTTGGTTGGTTCCTAGTTGTAATACTTAGGGATAAAACTCCTGTAATCATCCATGCATTAAATATGAAGGAGTGTTCTTGTTCCCATTTTGTGTGGTCAGCATTTTGCATCTTCGTTCTTATGTGTACTACTTTTTTGCTCAGCAGTTCCCTGATGACAGAGAGGGGCAATCATCTTTGACCATCCTCATGTGTATGTTTTCTTTGGCAAGATACCTGTTCAGAGAATTTTGTCATTTAAAAAAATCCTGTTTTTCATATTGTGTTTTATTATATATATATATGCTCACATCTATTTTTCAAAAGCCAGATCATTCCTGAGGCCTGGATTACTCCAGAACCAGGTATCCTTGTCTCATCTCAGAGGAATCATAGGTAAGACAACAAAACCAAATGTGTCACATTTCAAATATAAATGGTGGTCTTTACCATGAGATTGAGGTTTTATCTAGTTTTTGAAGATTGAAATGACTCATACTAGGGCATATAAAAGTCAGGTATTCAACAGCCAGATCTTCCCCAATCCATGATGCAAGCAGCAGGAGCATCACTATCCTCTGGGCCTACAATCTGCATCCTGAGGCTGAGGACTCGGGCTTTTTGTCAGGTATTTTTAAAGATCATCATATCTCACCCAGTTGTATGCAGAGGGCTTGGCAAATGTGTGTCTCAGAAATTCTGCACAGGTAAGGAGATGCCTGGTCTAATTGTGTGTACTTCTGGCTGCTCATTAATGTAGCAGGAGGTGCTGCTTCAGGGCCATTGTTGCTTACTGGCTTTCTGTCTTACCCATTATGAAAATCCATCTCAGGGTCCTCTTATCATCAGTATTGTATAGGAGCTAAGTATGTCATAATGTATAAAGTTATAGATAGCAGGCTAGTGACGTCATTTAAAATCCCAGACCTCTCTGAGATGTGTGAGATGAGGACCAAGATTGTCATCAAGACATCAGTGGCCTGCAAAGGTTCAGAGGAACCAAGCAATGGGTCATCAACCTTGTCTAGACCAGATCTCTACTGCTACTTATGGACATAATCTGTGTTCTCAGTGACTGATTGGGTTTCTGTCTTCATATCTCATAGTCCTAAGATTGGGGAAAGAAAGACTGATAAGGAGAGGAGCAGTTCTGGTATATGAGGACCTGTGATGCTCTGTCTGCAGGAGATGCTGTCAAGCCTGGCAGCTGCATTAGAAGGACAAGAGACAGAGAATGGGTGCATGAGCATATTAACAGAATAGTGGCTTTCAGCTTGCATCCATGGAGGCCTTTATCAGGACGAGCATAGTCACAGAGGATAATGATGCCCTTGCTGTGAGGTCCTTCAGAGACAGCAGATGCTTTCAGGGGCTGGAAAACACTTGTAGGATAGAAACAATCTGGAGATAATGCCATAGCCCATGGAAGTTTGTCCAGGAATGGGATAATATGGATACAGGTCACAAGGGATCAGACAAGTATCAAGAGAAACACAGATGGAACAAATTCCAGGCAGAGTAGGATGTGGTTATGAGAGGTTATTGTGAGTTGTCTCCTAAATGGTGAATGGTGGCTAAGAAACTGAGTAGACTTTATTTCATGTGCCCCTGGTGTCAGCAGCTTGTAAACAGCCATGTATGTCACCTTCATGGGAAACATAATCCATACAAGAACTAAACAGAGAAGGGGGAGATGCCAGAAGCCAGGACCCTCGCCCTTACCCTTACCCCCTAACTTTCCCCACCTGCACAATGTCCTCTGAAGCTTGGCAACTGCAAGATCCTGCTTAGCAACTGCAGATAGACTCAAAGCAGAGTACCATGTCTTCTTAAGAATAGCAGGGAGACCATAACTCAAGCAGTGTACCATATCTTCTGAAGAACTGCAGGTAGATCATAATTCAAGGCAGTGTACCATATAGACCATGACATGTTTCAAGGCACAGGCCAAGAAGATTTTGTACTTTTCCACCACCTGGACCCGCTTACCCCCTCCCCTTGTAAAACATGCTATAAAAAAGCATTTCATGTTCAAAAAAAAAAAGAAATTAAAAAAAATGATACACACACACACACAAAAAAAAAAAGAATTGTGAGAGGCAAAGTAACCTGTTCAAGGCCCAGTAATGGGAATGTAGCAGGATCAAGGTAGAACCTGTGTGTGTTTTCTCTCATTCCCTCAGGATGGCAGTACTCTAGTTTCTCCATAGAGCTCTAGGGCAGGTGATAATTCAGTGTAGAGCTGGAAATGCTGTGATCTGACAAGCCAAAGGAACAGGTGGAAGGTCAGAGGTCAGAGGTCCAACTCTTCCTAGGAAGAGGCCTGGACTGGAATTATGGTACAGGATAGGAAGGCCAAGTCCTTTGGGG